TGCACTTTTATCGGTTATAGAGACGAAGAGTTTGGCTACAGGTTGGGGATCCAGTGAAAAAGAAAGTTATTCGGAGCCGAGACGTAGTATTCCATGAGAATGAGATCGTGGCAGATACAACTTGTGAAGAATCCACAAGTGATGGTGTTGTATGGTGTTGTTGATATTACACCAGAAAGCATTCCTATAGATGATGTCACGAGAGGAGGAATGCCATAATCAGAACGGGAAGAAGAAGAAGAGCCAGTCATGGGGGATCAAGAGATGATTGTAGATGATAACAGTTATGCAGAGGGTGTTGAGTAGGGGGAGCCAGAGAACCCCATTCCACCAAAAAGAGTTGAACCTCAATTAAGAAGGTCAACCAGAGAACGCCAACCATCTACAAGGTACCTTAGTTTTGATTACATTTTGATTACTGATGAGGGGGAGCCAGAGAGCTTCTAAGATGTGCAATCTTACAAAGACAGAGATTGTTGGACAAAGGCCATGCAAGAGGAGATGAATTCTTTGAAAAAGAATGATACATATGAGCTGAAACTTCCAAAAGGGAAGAGAACACTCAAGAATAAAATGAGGAGTACCAATTCAAGAAAGATGATTGGCAACCTGTGAGATACAAGCTCGATGGTCGTCAAAAGGTTCTTTACTTAAGAAGTATTGACTTTGATGAGATTTTTTCACCAGTTGTGAAATGGAGTGTGAAAATGAGTTCTATTCGAGTTGTGCTAGGTCTAGTAGCCAGTTTGAATCTTGAGTTAGAGCAGCTTGATGTAAAGACCGCATTCTTGCACGGGGATGTAGAGGAAGAAATCTATATGGAACAACCAGAAGGTTTCAAGGTCAAGGGAAAAGAGGACATGGTTTGTCGCTTGAAGAAGAGCATGTACGAGTTGAAACAAGCACCGCGACAATGGTATAAAAGGTTTGATTCTTTCATGGTGAATCAAGGATACAAAAGGACAGATGCAGATCCTTGTGTATATGTCCAGAAATTCCCTAAATTTATCCATCTTCTCTTATATGTTGTGATATGCTAAATCGTTGGACCAGATGACACTATGATTAGCAGCATGTTAAAAGTGATTTTGTCAAAAGCATTTCGACATTACGGTTTTTGGGATAGGATTAAGGCGATTCTCGGAATGGGACTTTATCCGAGACAGAAAGTCCTGCAGTTATGGTTACTTGCAGGGAAAAATATATTAACGAGTAGAGAGGGTTCTATGAAGAAACCAGTTAGCACTCCACTTGCCGCTCACTTCAAGTTGAGTAAGAAATCCTACCCATCAACAGAGAAAGAAAAAGGAGATATGTCAAAAGTTTCATATTCCTAAGCGGTCAGAAGTTTGATGTACGCAATGGTGTGTACGAGACTAGATATTGCTCATGCAGTTGGCGTTGTGAGCCGATTTATGTCAAATCCCTAGAAGACACATTGGGAAGCAGTAAAGTGGGTCTTCAGATACCTGAGAGGAACTTCAAAGCTATGTTTAACTTTTGGAGGTGAAAAGCATGCACTTGTTGGTTACACATATGCAGATATGGCCGGTGATCTTAATGAAAGAAAATCTATATCAGGATACCTATTTACATTCTAAGGGGAAGCTATTTCATGGCAGTCGAGATTACAAAAATGTGTTTCGTTATCAACGACTGAAGGTTTGCCAGCAATGAGCAGGAAAGGAATGGCTTTGTGGTTTAAAGCGTTCTTTCAAGATTGGGTGTGCAGCAAGGAGAATATATTAGTTTATTGTGATAGTCAAAAGGCGTTGATTGAGCAAAATACTATGTATTCATTGCACGGACGCGGCACATTGATGTAAGATATCCATTGGCTTAGGATCTGCCATTGAAGAGAAGCAGTTCCAGTTATGAAAGATTCACACAGACAAAAATACTGCGGATATATTGACAAAGGTTGTTCCGAAGGAGAAGTTCGAACTGCGTGTCAAAGCGGCAGGAATGGAGAGTCCCACCATGTAGTCGGGAGGGGGAGAATTGTTGTAGGTCCCTCCGACATGTGGGACACACACACAAGTTTGAAGAAGAAAAAAAAAAAGGGGGAAAGACACATTTTTTTTTTTTGTTCAAAGAAGGTTGTGCGAAGATGGATGCGTTAATTGCGCGCAATCGATGGACACGTTGATTAACGCATCTCCTTCTCCTATAAATAGGAGAAGTTTTCCCTCAACAAATCGTACAAAACAAAAAATGAAGAAGTCTAAATAGTTAAGTGTAGAGAAAACTTTAGGAAAGGGTTCATAAAATTGGAAAAGAGAGAAAATAGTGAGGATTATAATTTTTTTAGGTGTTTTTGGGAAACACTTAGAGTGTTACTATTTTTGTAATCTCTTTTGTACCTACATGTGGAAGAATTATTCGAAGTTTTGTCCTGGGTGGTACCATAACAGTTAAAGGGTGAACCACATTTTTCATCTGGTATTTACGGTAATTATTCAATTTTTACCGTGATTATTATTTCTAGTGGATTCAGTCGTCAATATCCAATACGTAATTATTGGAGGTAAATGTGGTAATAGTAATTTAAATCTTTATCGTCGGTAATTTTATTTTACTTCTACCACCGGCATTTTTATGCGGGCCTCACTCGGGATCGGTTATAATCCCAACAAGTTTTATATAAATGAATTCCAAATATAACGAATTCTACAAAATCTTGTATATGTAATGCAGCCAGATATAAGTGCTCCTAGAGTCGACATATTGGCTGCATATCCTCCTCCTTTTCCACCCTCGTCTTACGATGATGACAATCAATGAGTTAAATTCTATATAATATCTGAAACTTCAATGTCTTGCCCTCATGTCGCTGGTGTTGCCGCTTATGTTAAATCATTTCACCCCCAGTGGTCTCCTTCTGCTATCAAATCCGCCATTATGACCACCGGTACTATCCCCTACACTCTACAGTACAAGAGATATTATACCTCTTGGTTATAAAAAAAAATTGTTTTTAGTTCTACAATTATTAAACTTTTTATTGTATCATCTGTAGCTTTCCCCATGAATGCAAGCACATCAACAGGAGCTGAATTTGCTTATGGGTCTGGTCACATAAACCCATCATATGCTATTAATCCAGGTCTTGTATATGAAGCATACAAAGAAGATTATATAGAAATGCTCTGCAAATATTACATAGATATGCTCTGCAACGTTGGAGATAATATGACTGTTTGTCATAGAGGTGGTGTGAAGGTATTACCTAAGGATCTAAATTACCCTTCTATGACTACTGGAGTTATGGCTGACACGAGTTATACATACTAGTTTTACAGAACAGTTACTAATGTCGGGCTTGCTTCTTCCACTTATAAAGCAAGTATATCGACAGGTTCTGAACTTAAAATCGAAGTAGAGCCTCAAGTGCTTTCCTTTTAAGTCTATAAATGAAACAAAGTCGTTTAACGTCACTGTAGTCGGTAAAGGCTTGACTGATCAGCAGATTGTGTCTGCCTCAACTATATTCTCTATTATATATTTATTGATTATTGCTAGTATGGATGTGTTTTGTCTCTTGACAATATGTAGACATTGTTATGAAAAGGTGACTATTGTTTTCTCGAATATAGGGGCGAGTTGTTGTTTAAGATTTCAGTAGGTCCCGCAAGACAGGAGTGAGACATGCGTGTACAGCGCTTTCTTGAATGTGATTTGTAATGCTATCCAAATTAGAGGATAAGGAGGAGATTTAATATCTAAACTTTTGGGTAAAACGATAGAGACAATGCTCTGTGATTCTATAGAGCCATATACACTGGTACAATGCCAAGGAAAATACTTAAGATTTTCACTCGTATATAATCTTGATAGATCTACAATTGGAGATAGATAAGAGAGATCTTTATCTAGAAAGAAATTTAACACTAAATAATTCAGTCAAAGATGGTTATGGTGTTTCAATTCAATTCTATCTCTCAAAAGTCTATCATTTTCATATTCATGTTAGAGATCTAATCTATGTGCACATAACAAAGGAAGGAACGAAAGAATCACCAAAGGAGCAGGCGGTGCAACCAAGAGTAGTGGGTGGCTACTATGTCGGACTTTCATGATTCACCTACTCCCTTTTTCTTTTTCGCTTTTTCTTTGATTTCCCTCTCATCCCACTTTTGATTTTGTTTTGTTTAATTGAGTTATACATTGCTTTAGTGATGAGGAATTGACTTTAATAGAGTTTTAGTTTCGCTTAAAACAATTTACACGTTTTACTGTGAAGGAAAGAAAGAAGTACGGCGTGTTTATGTTGAAGATGAAGTAGGTGCTGTAGAATATAACTTGCATTTACATTTATACCATTTTCATCTCAACATGTTCAAATTCAATATGAGATATTACTTGTCTTTAAAAAAATAATTCTATCTCTTTTTTTTTTACATTATACTTAATTCTTAAATTGTAAAAATATACTCTTATTAAATGTTATCTTATTTTTAATAACCCTCGTTAATTCTTAATTATTATTTCAATATAATAATTGTTTATATTTTTTTTTTTTTTTTGAGAAAAATTTATGTGTCGTTTAAGATGGACATAATATAAAAGTTATATGAATAAATAAAATTATCTTTTAATTATAATAATATTATTTTTTTAAACTGTGTGAAAATAAAAAGTTAAAAAGTATATATTAATAGCCGAACATTAGGGCGAGCTGAACTGTGTATCACCGCCCTAGTCGTTTACTATATTATATAGCAACAAATTGAAACAATAAGTCGATGAAAAACACAAGCTTTCCCTGAAGACATAGTTCTATAAATCAAGGATTAATTATCATTCCTTTTTATCTAATATGTTGATTATCACACTAAAAGTCTTAGTGCATTCCCACATTAATGAAATATAAAAATTGATCCATTTTTAGTAATTTTTTAATTTTATGGAATATTAGTTCTTGAATTAATATATATCACGATTTTTAATTTCTATTTCCAACCACTACTTTGTATATAGCAAAGCAACCAACTACGATTTTCAATTTCAATTTCCGTTTTCAATCTTCGGGGTTGCCTCTATCTCTGCCCATTGCATTCCTTCTATCAGTTCCTTCCTATCTTGTATGCCAATCCCCACAATATTGATAAAGCACGGTAAAAGAAATACTACTAGGGCATCTGCTAGGTTTTCCAACCTCACAAGTACTTTATTTCACATCATAAACATTTGTCTTCGAGTCTAATATTCATACAATTCTATAAATAAAATTACATTGTTGAAGACTGCTCAAGCTCACATCACATTTACAACATACAACTTTTAATTCTATATTTGCAGATAGTCTAAGTTTTTAATTTTTTTTTTTTTATAAAGTAATAGGCCTTGTAGTTGCAGTTCTTCCTATGATCCTATCATACCAAGAAGCTTCCATCTTTGTAGTTACTGACAGTTGCCTACTTGCTAGTGACAGTTAACTTTAATTCGGGTAAGTTTTTGCCAAAAATGTTGACATGTATTTCAATCTACAAATTTCTCGCAAACTTTCACATCTAGTGGATTTCCCGTTGTCCCTTTCCTTGCTTAATTCTGAAATCAAATCCTTTGTTGTACAAGGACAATATATAGAGGCCTTGCAATTGTATTCAAGAAATTCTCTTAAAATTACCAGATTCAGCTACCCTTCTCTGCTCAAGGCCTGTGCTTGCCTTTCAAATCTTCAGTATGGAAAAACTATCCATTCAAGAATTATCACCGCAGCCTTACACTATGATCAATATATCACCACTTCACTTATTAACATGTACGTTAAATGTGGGTCGCTTACAGATGCAGTTCAAGTGTTTGATAAATTACCTGACAGCGGAGTTACAGTCCAGGATGTCACAATTTGGAACTCTATAATTGATGGGTATTTTCGTTACCGTTATCTTAAAGAGGGTTTAGTTCAGTTTCATCGGATGCAATCATTAGGCGTTAGGCCTGATGCCTTTTCATTGTGTATTTTACTCGGTGAGCGAAATGCGCTTCTAGGATATAAAGAAGGGAAGCAAATTCATGGTTATGTTGTTAGAAACTTGTTGAGTGGTGACCCTTTCTTGGAGACTGCACTACTTGATATGTACCTCAGTTGTGGCAGAACAACAGATGCATGGTATTCGTTCATAGAGTTGAAAGATAAGAGCAATATTGTAGCATGGAATGTGATGATTGGAGGGTTTGGAGAAAATGGTTGTTGGGAAAAGAGCTTGGTATTATGTATTTTAGCGAAGAATGAGAATGTTAAACTTGTGTCAGCATCATATACTAGCACTTTAAGTGCCTGTTGTCAAGGTGAGTTTGCGAGTTTTGGCAAGCAAGTTCATTGTGAAGTGATTAAGGTAGGTTTTGAATATGATCCTTACGTCCGTACTTCTCTTCTGACGATGTATGCAAAGTGCCAAATGATTGAATGTGCAGAAAAAGTTTTCATTGAGGCATCAAATAAAGAAATTGAATTATGGAATGCAATGATTTCGGCTTATGTTGGTAATGGGTGTGCTTATGATGCTTTAAAATCATACAAAAAGTTGAGGTTTTGTGAAATTCTGCCAGATTCTTTCACAATTTCGAATATTTTATCATCTAGCAGTTTGGTGGGGTTATATGATTTTGGGAGGTCTATTCATACAGATTTAGTGAAAAGACCCATACAGAAAAACATCACTGTGCAGAGTGCATTGTTAAACATGTATTCTAAATGTGGGAATAGCAATGATGCTAATTCCATTTTTATAACAATGAGGGGAAGAGATGTGGTTGCTTGGGGATCCATGATATCAGGTTTTTGCCAAAATAAGAAATACAGAGAAGCTGTGGAGCTTTTTAGAGCAATGGAGGGAGATGGGGTGAAACCTGATTCTGATATTTTGGCAAGCATCATCAATGCTTGTACAGGACTAGAGAAGGTAGATATGGGCAGCATGATGCATGGATTTGTTATTATAAGTGGTCTGGAACTGGATGTTTTCGTTGCTAGTTCCCTAGTAGATATGTATTCCAAATTTGCTTTTCTGAAGAAGGCTGAAACTGTATTTTCTGATATGCCACTTAAGAACCTTGTGGCTTGGAATTCTATGATATCTTGCTATCACTGGAATGGCCTTCCAGAGCTATCCATTGATCTTTTTTCTCAAATTCTAAAAAATGGCTGTTCTCCAGATTTTGTTTCCTTTACAAGTGTCCTTGTTGCTATTTCATCAGTTGCAGCACCGTTAAAAGGAAAGAGTGTACATGGGTACTTGATAAGACTCTGGATCCCATTAGATCTTGAAGTGGAGAATGCATTAATTGATATGTATATGAAGTGTGGATTCTTGAAATATGCACAATATATTTTTCTAAACATGTCTGATAAAAGCTTGGTAACATGGAATACGATGATTTCAGGTTATGGATCACATGGAGAGGGCTTGAAAGCAATAAGATTATTTGATGAGATGACAAATTCTGGGACTAGACCTGATGATGTTACTTTCCTTTCTCTGCTGTCATCTTGCAGCCATTCTGGTTTGATTGAAGAAGGCCTAAATCTATTTGAGTTGATGAAAATGAAGTATGAGATTGAACCAAGAATGGAGCATTATGTAAATGTAGTTGATCTTTTGGGTCGTGCAGGACACCTAGATGATGCTTGCACTTTTGTGAAAAACATGCCTATTGAACCTGACAGGAGTATTTGGCTATCTCTGTTATGTTCCTGCAGAATTCATCATAATTTAAAGCTTGGAGAACTGGTAGCAAATAAATTATTGGCGCTAGAACCGAGCAGTGGCAGCAATTATGTTCAACTATTGAATCTTTATGGAGAAGCTGAATTATGGGATAGAGCAGCACATGTAAAGACATCAATGAAAGAAAAAGGATTGAAGAAGACTCCTGGATGCAGTTGGATTGAAGTGAAAAATGAGGGTTGATGTTTTCTTTTCTGGTTATTCTTCATCTCCAAGAACAGAAATCAATGAGACATTGAGTAGTCCTAGGAGGAAAATGATTAAGCAAGGAGGTTATTAAGAAGGTATTAAGGTATTGTAAGGAAGTAGTCCACATAAGCCATCTATACCTTATTCACAAGTCTTTAGTTTTACCTGCTCATCTGCAATGAAAGGTTTTAATGTCCTCTACAAATGAGTGGAAAAAGTTGCCCTGTTATCTAAGAAAGACCAGAAAAAAATTTATTTCAAGATTTAAATTTTGTTAAAGAAGTAATTTAATAGGCAGAAATCAAAACTGGGAACTTTCCAAGGCTTAACTTCAGCCACTTGGTTGAAGCCTCATCAGTGTAGTTAAATATATACAGTAAAACAATTTTTTATCTGTTCAATGATAATTTGTTGTGCATCTGTTCGTATTGTTTCTTTTCTGTTTATTTTTACATTAGATAATGGCAAAATTATTTTATTACCAGAAAGAGTTGCAAAGGAGTTTGTTAATGGGAGCCATGGTGGGGCTGGAGGTAGGGGGTGTGCAAACTTACCGACCGAAAACCGAACCGACTCATTTCGGTTCGATTCGGTCAGCTAAATAAAGAGAAGTTCTATTATCGGTTTATTTAGTTTGAACCAAGTATATATTTCAGTTTGAGTCGATTTTATAGAAATTTGTCGATTGGACTTAAAACTGAACTAAAATGAAAAATTTAATCAAAATTAACTGAACTAACAGGTTCGGTTCGATTCAGTTCAGAAGCCAATTTAATCAAAATCTAAATGATATAAGGCAAAAATTATAATCAATATTTAATATTTAAAATCTTATCTATACTATATAAAAGTGAGAATAAGTGGAAATAATAAGATTTTCAATATTATCCTTGTAAAATTTAAAATATCCTAAAATAACTTTATTCATAACGAATCAAAAAATTTTAACATAAGTATATATATATATATCTGCAATTTGATTGGATGTTTTTTTAACATTTTTTTAATAGATAAATACATAATAGATAATTAAGCATTTGAAAATTTAAAATTTTACTATTATTATCTTATTATATATAATTATGTTTTATTTCATTATATTATTATATAATTTATTAATAATAAAAGTAATTTATTATTATTATTTTAATTTACTATTATTTTAATTTATTTTCAACATTGTTATTTTAAATGAATATGTGCAAATATGAGGCATTTGAAAATTTTTAATTTTTTCGAATTTAGTTTAAATAAATATATCTAGATAATTAAGATTTTAATTTAAAAAGGATATAGTTAAATTTCTTTAATTACAAATTGCACTCTAATTTGGTTGGCCAAAAATGAAAATTAACAATTTTTACTATTATTATCGTTATTATATATAATTGATGTTTTATTTTCAATTATATAGTTATATAATGTTAATTAATAATAAAGAGTAGATTTGATTATTATTAATTTGAATTTTGACTATTATCTTTAATTTATTTTCAACAGTTGTTAGTTTTTAGAGATGAATATGGTGCAAGATATGAGGCATTTAGAAAGATTTTTAATTTTTCGAAAGTTTAGCTTTAAATAAATATATCGTAGATAATTAAGATGTTTAAATTTAAAAGAAGGATATAGGTTTAAATTTCTTTTGAATTACAGAATTGCCACTCGTTGTAATTTGCGTGGCCAAAAAAATAAGATAAAAAGATTATGTTTATTTTTTAGAAAGAACATTCTCCGAATTTGAATTAATGATAATTGAGTATCTTATTAGATTAAGGATTTTTATCGACCGTTTGGTGATCCCAAAAACTGAAAGTGAAAATTGATGCAGAGCTTTATATAAATATATCTAGATAATTAAGATTTTAATTTAAAAAGGATATAGTTAAATTTCTTTAATTACAAATTGCACTCTAATTTGGTTGGCCAAAAAATAAGATAAAAAATTATTATTTTTAAAAACATCTCGAATTTGATTAATGATATTGATATCTTATTTAATTAAGATTTTATCGACGTTTTTTGTCCCAAAACTGAAAGTGAAATTTTATGCAGAGCTTTATTCTCTCCATTTCGCACAGCAAAGTTGGTTGAGAATTACGGTTTAGGAAATTAAGAAGATGATTGTTGCTTTATTTTTGCCGACAATAATCGAAAATTTGATCAGGATATACGGCATGGAGCAAAGCCATGGGGTTGAGAAAAGTTTGAAACAGTGTGTTTTGGATTAACTCATTTCTTTTATTAACTTGACCATGAGAGAGATTATGAGTCCCATAAAAATAATTTTTTATTCATTAGATTGGCTAGAATTTTAATTTGGGTTGCTATTGTAACTCATGGTCAAATTTATGGTATCTGAAGAAAAAAGTTAAATTTATGGTATAATTAAAATAACATGTAAAATGGAGAGTGTTTCGATGGTTTGGCTTAAAGGATGAGATATAAAAATAAATATGAGCTATGGTTACTGGGCATTGTTTATTGTTTCTAGAATGCCAAATAGAGGCACATGTTATTTGGTTGGTTTCCGAAAATTTTTTAAAGTAGGTGAGTCTTTATTGAGCAAAATGTATAATTTGTCCCGTGTACTTTAGCTAAAAAATCTTGTGGCCTCCTATAATTTTGCGAATGACTTACTAGGACCTTATACTTTTTTATTTTATATTATTACATCCTGCACTAGGTTACCGTTGCACGCGTGAATTGTACTCGCCCTGAACTGAACTGGCAAAAAAGCTTTGATGTAGCAGTAATTGTCATAAACACACAACTCTAATTTTTATATATCCCAATAAAATAGCTTATTTGAGATAAAATAATAAAAAATTACAAATTACATAGTTCAAAAGAAAGGAGCCCACAGTTTCTGGCTTCTTTTTCCTCAAATAACAACACCAAGAAACAAAAATGGCATCTAAGGAACGAATTCTATAATTATTTCCTTCCTTGTTCTGCATAGAAATTTATATATACAAACCTAAAACATTCACCGATGCAGAAATACACCCATAAGAGATTGAAAGCTAAGAAATACAACACAGATCTACACACTTTGTTTAGCAATTTTGTATATTAACACCAAATAAGACTCAAAAAAAGAGGAAAAAAAAAAAATCCAAGTATAGAAAACCAAAACCGGCATTCTTCTCTACTGTTGCTGTTGTTCCTCCTGTTGCTTGAATTAGGAAGGCTCTGTCCTTCATCAGATTGATAGTGTATAGGATATGTTTCTCCTCTTTCTCTCTAACAATCACAATATACCTCAAAAATCCAAGTGTCTAGATCTGTTTTTATATTTTAGATATCAAGTCCAAAAATGAGAAAGAGAACTTAAAATCCAGAAAATAAAAGAGAAAAAAAAATAAAAATCACAATCTCAAAAAAGAGAAAGAGAACTCAAAACCCAAAAAATAAAAGAGAAAAACAAAACAAAAATCACAATCTCAAAAAAGAAAAAGAGAACTCAAAAATCAAAAAAGAAAAGAGAAAATCAAAACAAAAATCAGAACCCACAAAAGAACGAGTTGTTCTTAGAGAGAGAGTTATTGGATGAAGAATAATAAATAGAAACAAACACAAAATAATCTCTGAAAATGAAAAGCTAATTGGATTATTATTGAAAGTTAAAATTTTTTATTTATTTAAAATAAAAAGAAAAAGAAAAAGAAAAAGATAGAAGAATAGAAAAGTAGGCCACGTTGTATGAAGAACAATAAAATATATCTTCCAAACAATCTTAACATTATAGAATATAATAATTACCTTAAAACTCGTGAGAATTATCACATAAAAAAAATTATATTAGTTTTTCTTATTTTATTGCTTAGGATACTTCTATTGATTACCTTAAAATATATAAAAAAATTGAATATAATAATACATAAAAAAAAATGTAATCACAATTAAATATTAACAAGTACAAACAACATGTAAGACACATTTATAATAACTTAAGAAAAAAACAATTAAAAAGATTAACTATTTAATTAATTTTAAACATAAAGAAAGGGAAAGGAGATTTAGAGTTTAGAGTTTATATTATAAAAGAAAGAATGGCTATGAATGCTTTAATAAGATGTACAAATGATCATTTAGATAAAAAATTTAAAAGAGATTTAAAATTATTAATAAATAATTTTTTAGTCGAGTAGCAATTATATTTTTTTTATTTTTTTATTTTTTTAATCTCCATATATCATTTTTAGTAATATAAATGATTTATAAAAATTTTATATGAAACAGAAATCACGAATATAAATAATAAGTACAAATAACGAGCAACTCAGATATGTAATTTCTAATATATAATGTAAAAATAATTTGATAATTTACAATATAATTTATTATTATCAACAAAAATGGGACATATCTATTTATGATATAATTTATTATCTATTTATGACATATCTATCAATAATAAATGCCTTCCAAGAAAATTATAAGAGAGTTTTATAGAGAAGAAAATTAGTTGTGTTATTCTTTTTCTCTTTTGTTGCTCTCTATATACGGAGGATATTTGTAACTACTTCAAATTAGTTAAGTAGATAATCACTATCTCATGTGCACCAACCATATATAATTGCTTGAATGTTCTGATCCTTTTAAGGTATATTCTAGGTATTTATTTTATAAAATATATTTAGGTATTATCAAGAGTTCCACCAAAATGTTGGTTATTTATGTCCAATTAATATAGACTCGTAGTATTGTCCGAGCGAGAGTGAACTTCTTAGGTTCAGAAAATTATACAGATCTGGGTTAGAGCAACTCATTCAGGCTCGAAAGACTGCTAAAGTCTAAACTGGAATGAGCTACTTAACCTCGAAAGACTTCTAAAATCCGAACTGAAATGAGTTGTTTAAGCTCGAATGGGTAGACTGCTTAAGTTTCGAACTAGAATAAGTTGCTAGTTCGAAACAAAGTCTACTTAGGGCTTGCTTTATTTGGGTTGGTGCCTCTTTATTGCTTCTGGGCTCGGCTACACGTCATCAATTTCCTACCTTAAATCCATATTAGGCAAGTAAGATTATATTGATTGCGAAAAAAAAAAAAAATACTGATAATATATGTATAGTTATATATCGGCGCTAGCAGCGTCGAGTCGGAATTTTGCCTACGCTGAAGTCCATACTTAGGCAAGACTAAGATTATATTGATTGCGGAAAAAAAAAAAAATAACTGAATATATGTATAGTGTATATATATAATATATATATATTTATATAAAAGTGATTGTATGTTGGTTATGAAATTAAACTCCAAGCAGCAACTTTTATTTAAGAAAAAAGAACCGGATTCTTTGTATTTGGCGTAAGGCTAAATTGTAATTCTATGAACCCATAAAATATTAGAGTGGAAATTTGTATGTATTTGATGGTTTGTTTAGTGTCCGTTGAAAGGCAGGGTCTAGCATGAGGTGTATGTTGAATGAAGTGATTGTAATTGTTGAGAGGCTTATATATACATATATATATATTTATATAAATGATGTATTTGGTTATGAAATTAAACTCCACAGCAACTTTATTTAAGAAAAAAGAACCGGATTCTTTTTATTTGCTAGCTAAATTGTATTCTATGGGAACCATAATATTAGAGTTGAAATTTGTATGTATTGATGGTTTGTTTAGTGTCCTTGAAAGGCAGGGTCTACGATGAGTGGATGTTGAATGAAGTATTTAGGTATTGTTGAAGTCTATAGTGATACATATAGAGACACCAATAACATTAAGCTGCAAAATTATCAAACACACTCGATAATGGCTGTTGAAGTGTTTCCCATGTCAAACTCTGCTTTTGTTCCTTTTGTACAAGCTGATTTTATAAAATGCAGTTTTCTCCCTAAAAAAAAAAAAAAAGATAAAAGAAAAAGAAAATCAGAGTTTGAATCCCTCACCCTTACGTTGCAAGACGAACTATTAACCAGGGGCGAGCTCCATTGGGTCTGGGGGCCCGTGGCTTAAAAAAAAAATTCTTATGAAAATTACATTTTAATCATTTAAAATATAAAAGAAATTACACTTGGCCTCCTAAAAGTTTATAAAATTAATTAATTTTTATAAAAATGGGTATAATTTTTTTAAAAAAATTAATTAATCTTTATGAAATGCTAAAATTTAAAGTGGTTACCATTTCGTAAAATGTTACATTAACTATAAAAAGCTATTATAAAAGTTATGTTACCGAACGGTACAATTAATATAAATAGATTTTTAATTTGATCAAAATGTTAAAAACTAATTGAAAAGTTGCCGTAGATTTATTACAATAATTTATGAGACATGCTTTATTCCTCGTAGTTTAAAGGTTCTGAGTTTATTATGTATAGATTAGCATATATATAAATAAGAAAAACTAATATAATTTTCATCAACTTGTTGCAGCTCGAAGGAAAATCAAAATGATAGATGACAAAAGCTGATGCAGTTGTATTCCCAAATTGTTTTAAAATAATATGGTAGTTTCATGTGGAGCCTTTCTGCCACCAAAACAGAAAATGTGGGTCTAATGCCACCCATTAAGAAAGAATTGTGCTGCTAAGTCAAAGTTTATGTTTCAAAATTCAATTTTTATCGAGAGTCTATTCAGTAAAATTAATTGTTTTAGTAGCGTTTAGCTATTTGATAACTTTTTATACAACGCTATCAGCTAAACATTAATAGAGTTAACTTTTTATAAAACGTTACCTTAACGTCTAAAAGTTAGTACAAACACTATGTTATCGAATACTATAAAAAAAAAAACATTTGTTAAAACTACTGGTGACTAAAATGTTTTGATAAGATTGATTTAATTTAGTACCTTCATTGACTTCTTTGATTAAGCTTGTGAAAATATGTTTATGACTTTAGAAATAGAAAATGCTAGACTTAGGATCAGTGTAGCATTATTGTAGTGAACAGTAAAATTTAAATAATTTTTAAACGATGGTTGTATCCATGATTATGGAAATTCTTTGATTAGCCGAAAATAAAAGAGCCATCAGCAAAAGCTGAAACAATAGCTCATGTGGATGTTATTTTTACTAGAAGATTTTAAGACAATGTTCAAAAACCAAATAGATTTTTGTAGTAACATCTTGGTATTACACATTTAAAGGAATTCCGATAAGGTAGAGCCCCTTAAGATTTAAGGCAAGGTACTCGTAGCCCCTGCCTTCCCTGGCGCCGTGCTGCCCTCCTCTTATCATTATTATATATTCAAACCATTTCCCCCACCCACATCAACACCAGTAATTTCCCCTTCTTCCCCTTCATTTTATATATTCAAACCATTGCCCCTGCCACAATAATATCACTAATTATAAAAAGAAAAATTATAATTTAGTCCTTAAAGTTTGACCTAATTAATTGGGAAGCCTCTCTAATTTGATAAATGCATTAAAATGTCTTTATATAATTAATTTATTTAAGTTAAATATTGATTAATAAAAAGACAAAATACTCGAAATTATATGTATGTGTGTTAAAACAACCCTTTACTAACGAAATGAATAATAAATAATTTAAAGGATCAATAGTATAAGATGTTTTAAAGCATTTATCAAAATAGAAGGATTAAGTAATTAATTAGATAAAACTCAAAGAGTGAATAGTAATTCTCCATTTATGAAAATCAAGAATTGGCTCTCACAAGTCCTCGTCGAACTGGATAGGCGTGAATATTTGTTGGATCCATGAGAATTGAATTATTGATTTCACGAAAGGAGAGGAGTGCTAAATCTCACTATCTCAATACTTATTGGTAGGATGACCTATTATATTGTTATAAATAGAATAACAGTTTTCTTTTCTTTTTGGCTGTATTTGACATTAGCTTGCTTTTCTTTTGGTTGTGTTATAACTTTTAACTAACGTTTAAGGTTAAAAGTAATGTTTTATAAAAAATTAACCCATAAAATATTTAGCTTATAGCGTTTTACAAAAAATTATTCAAACAGATAGTTAAATACGAGTAAAACTTATTTTTTCTTCTATTAATTGTAATTATATTTTATTATTTCCATATAATTTAGAGTAATTTTCTTATATATTTACCCGTTAAAATTTTCAGTTTTGAATATTAATTGTAATAAATCATAATCATATATGGTAAGTCCAATATATTATTATATACACCATGAAAAGGAAACAGAGCAAAAGAAGGAGATGCAGAGTTCACGTGGTATAAAGTAAAAAACAAACAACTATTGTGTATCTTCTTCTTTAATTCACAACGTCAACGTGAAAAACCAAAGAACAATGGAACATTTAAAAGCTAATTCTAGTACCGGATTGACAAACTAATTAATTAGGTCAACCCTTCCTTAAAGCCGAGAAAAAGCAAGAATTTGTTCATGGGGCTGAGTACCATATTCTGCTATTTCTCTATTGACTTGATCTGATTTACCGGTCTTTTTCCCAGAAATACTCTGATTCTTTGATACTTGGAAATTCTGCGCCAAAGTCCTTAACTGAAACTTTTGAATTTTCCCAGTAGCCGTCTTCGGTAGTTCCGGCAAGAAAACCACCTTCTTGGGAACCATAAACCCAGGGAGATTTTTCCGGCAGTAAGCTATAATGTCATCTTCTTTGAGCTCATCAGTTTTACCATTTGCGTTCTTTTTAAGAGCAATAAAAGCACAAGGACTTTCTCCCCATACTGGGTGTGGCATTGCTACAACAGCAGCTTCCAGGATTCTTGTATGCCTGTAAAGTACAGATTCCAATTCTACACTGCTAATATTTTCGCCACCTGATATAATCACATCTTTTGATCTATCTTTGATTTCTAAGTACCCATCAGGATGGATAACTCCAACATCGCCTGTACAAAACCATCCATTCTTGAATGCCATAGAAGTAGCTGCTGGATCTTTATAATACCCTTTCATTATACTACTCCCTTTCAAAACTATCTCTCCCATTGTTTTTCCATCACGAGGAACACTCGCCATTGTTTGTAAATCTTTTACATCAACATCGGCAAGGGTTAGTACGCTCAGCCCTTGTCTTGACTTCAGTTTTGCTTGTTCCTGTACTGGAAGTTGGTTCCACTTTTCTTGCCACTCGCATACTAAAGCTGGTCCAGTAGCCTCCGTTAGCCCATATGCGTGCGTGACATGAAATCCAAGTGGTTCTATCTTTTCTAGAAGTGACGGTGGCGGTGGTGCTCCTCCGGTTAAAACTTCAACCGGAGAAGTTATTTGACGGCGCTCGTGTGGTTTTGCCTCAAGAATGATATTGAAAACGATAGGTGCACAGCACATGTGGGTAACTTTGTGGAGCGAAATGTTCCTGAACATGTCGTACGCGGTGATATTGCGCAGACAAACATTGGTTCCGCCGCGTGCAGCGATCCCCCAAGTGAAAGTCCAGCCGTTGCAATGGAACATAGGAAGAGACCAAAGATAAACAGGCTCATTTCCCATTTCCCAGCCGAGAATTAGGCTAAGAGTGCTCAGATAAGCTCCTCTATGGCTATAAACAACTCCTTTAGGCTCTGAAGTTGTGCCGGATGTGTAATTTAAGGCAATAGGATCCCATTCATCCTGAATGATTTCAGGCACATAATTAGGATTGCCTTTATGCAAAACCTCTTCATACTCCAACTCGCCTAGCCGGACACCAGTAGGTGAATCAATGTCATCAATCACGATGACTAACGGGAAATTAGATTCAGATGAAACATAATTCTCCTGTTGAGAGTCATCTATTAATAACCGGAGAGCCTCTCGTGCCAGAGGAACATACTGGTAATCCACAAAGAAAACTTTGGCTTCGGAGTGGCGAAGAATGGTGGCTATAGTCTTGCCATCTAGCCTGGTGTTGATGGTGTTCAGGACAGCTCCAGCCATGGGCACTGCAAAGTGCATTTCATTCATGGCCGGAATATTCGGAGCCAGAACAGACACCTGAACAAAAAAGGAACATTTTTTAGATATAAGAAAAACTTACAATTCTAATAATGAAGGCTCTGCTACCACATATAAGACCACAAAAAGTACTTACCACATCATTTTTTACGAGGTTCAAGGAGCCAAGAAAGGAGGCGAGGCGAAGGCAACGTTGATAGGTTTGCAGCCAAGTGAAACGGGTGCCTTCATAAATGATAGAGGTACGATTAGCATAAGATGAAGCTGCTCTCTTCAAGAAAGTTAATGGGGTAAGAGGAACATAGTTTGCTTCACATTTAGGAAGTTTATCCATTGTTTTAAGATTTTTTTATTTTTATTTTTGGTAAGAGGGAGAGGGAGAGGGAGAGGTATGTGCTGTGTCTGTATATATTTTGGATGTTAAAATGTTTGATGCAAAGGGTTTATATAGGAGTTAAGGCACAAAGTACACGAGTTGGGTGGGTGACAACAAACTAATTGAAAAATACTTGTCTCGGGTGCATACATCACATAAATTTACCTAATAATAATATTGCCTTCGTTTCTAAATATTTATTACATTTGAAAAAAATATTATATTCTGAAATTTGAGTCATATTTATAAATTTCATAAATAATAAATTATTTTTTATTTTTTATATATAATCGATAGTGATTATTTCACTTTTTGAACGATTTATTGTAATTTAAATAAATTAAAGATAATATAATTAATTTATTTAATGATTTATTATAAATTAAATGAATTTTTAGAGGACTGAAAACCCAAATATCAAAATATTAGGGACGGGGAGTAATCATAATAATAAATTTGGAATATTAACGGGAAATTGCCACGGAATTTGAACATAGACTATTGACTATTTGACTTTCTTTTTTGTTTTCCTTTATTTTTTGAACTATTTTTTCTAATAAATGAAAACGCCTGTAAGTTTTCACATCGCAGAATGGGGCTGCTTGACTCTGCCACCTCACTAAATTGTTGATGCAACCAAAAAAAAAAAAAAAAAGGAAGCGAGAAGAAGTCGAAGAGACAACTTTTGATTAAGGAATCTAATCTGTCGAGACGCAACAATATGAGTGAGATAAAAGAACTGTGTATGTTTGCGCATTAATCGTTGAATGTAGTGAAGCAATTGGTGAGAGTCCAAGTATTCCAAGATCAAACTGGTAAATTTATTGAAGTTCATATTTAGAAATTATATGATCTGAAAGACTGCTCTCTTCAAGAAAGTTAAATTTGAATATTAGAAACTCCGAAGACCAAATTGTTTATGATGGTGAAAAATAAGTACTTGTGAGGTTGGGCGTATAAGAAGAGACTAAGCACGATAGTAAATGCTGCTTCACATTTAGGAAGCCTTTATCCAAGTTAGTGGTTTTTTAGTATTTTCTTTTATTTTTTTACTCTTTGGTAGCTTTATCTAAGAGAGGTATTGTGGGGAGAGGTTGGACATTACCAAAGAGATAGAGAAAGAGAGGAATACTGTGCGATGAGAAGGAATGCAAATGGGCCAGAGATCAGAGGCAACCCGAAGATTGTGGTAACTAGTAAACAGTGAAATAATGATATGAGTGTCTATTGATTAAAATGTATAATTGCAGTGTGAAAGAGTTGGTTTTGCTTTATCCTTATAAATGAGCCAGAAGTTAAAAGGGTCTATCAAAAGTGTTAGCAGTTGCAAAGATAGATTATATGAAAATTCGGTTGATATATATTAATTCCCAAGAAACCCCTAAATGATGTTCCCGAACTAAAATATCTAAAAACTAAATTATAATCGTAAAAAAATGGATCAAAATATTTTATCATTGAAATTCTTTCATTACAAGTGGGGTTGCGGAAATCAAACCTCTAAGCACACTTTTAAGTGTGAATAAATTCATTAATACCATAACATCTAGAATATAAATAAAGAGTAATTGCCTTTGCGTTTCTAAATATTTATAAAATTTGAAAAAATAAGAATAATAATTAATCCCATTCTGCCAAATTATTGAGGTCAATTTATTTATTTAAATTTTTCATAATATAAGAATAAATACTAATTTAGTTCTTTTCCTTAAGTGGAGCTGATATCTATTTTATATCTGACTATATAGTGAGAATTATCTTTCATCTATTTTGTGTCACAATTTGTTGCTATCTAAGAATATATTATTTTAAATAGTGTTAAGTAATTTAAATAAAACGGTATTCATAAGGAGGCGAATGAATATAATTCCAACAAGTTTTTTCCAGCCTTACCCATCTCAATATGTTTATATAAATTACGAGATGAACTTTTTAGGATGACTTATGAGTGAAATAACCCCATAATAATCTATATTATTTAAATTAGGAACGACCTGTTCTGGAAATATTAATCATTATATCAACAACTAAGAATTTTTTTGCGTAAAATAAATACAAATGAAATATTTCCACGATTATATAATTTAATAATATAACAAGATTAATATGTATTCTTATGATTATACCAAAAATTAATAGGACCCTTTTTTTATACTTTTTAATTGTGTCATCCTCTTAATAACTAGTTATCTAACCGAATCAAATATTTTTTTTTCTAACCTTAACAAATATGAGAACGACAAACTAGATAAAAGGTTATCAAACAGTCGCAGTAAAGCCAAATTGGATTATACTGTGAAGAATAAATAAACTGCAATTTGACAAAATGAACTTGCCAATTAACACTCCACCTGAATGTGGGTTAATTTGTATTGCAAAAATCCAAAAAAAAAAAGATAAAACAAATTCTTCAAACATAAATGAGAAGAGTAAATATATAAATTTAAAACCAAGATTTAAGAAGCATCCATAAGTGTATGCTCTATTTGGTTTGGTTAAAATAATAGAAAAAGAGCAATAAAATTATTTTAAAAAAAAAAAAAAAAATCCCAATGAAAATAAAAAATAGAAGCACCATTGGCCATTGGGTTTGTTTGGTTGTGTCCACACGTGAGGTACAATTATGTATAGGGTCCCCACACTTCAATTAATTTGACTCTCATATCCCTGTTTATTTAAACAAAAACACCCAGTAATATCGTATTAGGAATAGTTTATTATCTCTTTTACATAATATTTATCGTATTTCAGAAAATAGTTTATTTTAAAATACATATTACATTTGTAATTTTAAAGAGTAATAAATCTTTTTTTTTCATGTTTACCATTGCATATAACTAATAATTATTATTTAAATTTAATGATTTTCTTAGAAAATTAATATTAAATTAAAGGTAATATAGTCAATTTATTTAATAATAGAAAATAAAATTAATATTAAATTAAAGGTAATATAGTCAATTTATTTAATAATTTATTATAATTTAGACAAATTTAATAATTTTCTTAAAGGACGTGAAATTCTAAATATGAAAAGTATTATAAAACAGAAGAGTATTATAGAACGGAGGATTTTTATTCACAGCTATACAATATGTAGCTATCCTCTAAAAAATAATAAATTTAGCCGATTGGTTTAAACAATGGCCGCGAAATTAGGAGCGGCTTGCTCCCTTAATTTAAAATATCTTACAAAAATTTTACATTTTATATATAAAATAATAAAATTTTCAATTTTACCCTTTGTAATTTTATAAAATTTTTTTCGCTCATCTTAAATAGTTCAAATATCTTATTAGCTTAGTTTTATTTTTTTTTTTTTAGAAATATAATTTATTAATAATAAAATCAAGTATTATAAGTACTCAATTAAACCAGACATAGAACTTATTATCATAATTAATAACGCAGACATAGAACTTTATTATCATTAATTAAATAGAATAGAACTTATTATCATAATTAATAGAAAGTCCGTTGATCCTACAACAACAAAAGAATTATCTATATTCTTTTGAATAATAAAACTAAAACTAAAAGAAATAATATTGGATTTTTCCACTTGAAGATAGCCTTGACCAATATAAATCTTCATAATAGCAACTGATCCTTTAATTGATTTGGACAACAAATAACTTTTTCGGATCTTCTATACTTGGAATTGTTTTTCCAAAAGCTTGTTGTGTGTGACATACACGGATGAGTCTAAGCCACTATGCGTTAATAACATCAATAGAGGAATAGGTCACACTGTCAGGCTCCATTGATCGAAAATATATATATCAGTAAAATAATATCTAAATTCTCCAACCAAATAAAATCAAATATCATACTTTTTAAGAATAAACCTTCACAAAGAAGAATTAAAGTTATTCAATGTCACTCAAAATTGTAAGTTCAAATGCTTAATAACTTATTCACAAATTTTATGGTACCATAGAATTAAAGTTAAAAAATTCACGAGTGAATTTATATTCCGCTTAACTTAAATTCCACAACTATAACGTGGCTATGTATATTACGTATAACATAGCCTAAAAATGAGAAAAATATGTTATTCATTTATATTTCGAGTCATAATAGTATCTCTTGGTCAAACAATAACTCAATTTTAACACCTTGTCTTAGATTGCGTATAGTTAATTATAACTTGAACTCTATAACCATTTAATATGGCTCTATATTTTAGGTGTAACATGACTCGTAACGAGAACCGGGTGGTAGTACCTTTATTCTATAATACTTATCACATTTATAATTTCATGTTTCTTAAATAAGAAAATTATTAAATTTGTCTAAATTACAATAAATTATTGAGTAAATTGACTATATATTATTGAGTTAAATTGACTATATTACCCTTAATTTAATACTAATTCTTTAAGAAAATCAATTAAATTGAGTAATAATTATTACTCATATACAAAAAGATTTCATTAAAAATTATTAAATTTGTCTAAATTACAATAAATTATTGAGTAAATTGACTATATTACCCTTAATTTAATACTAATTCTTTAAGAAAATCATTAAATTGGAGTAATAATTATTACTCATATACAAAAAGATTCATTACTCCTTGAAACCACAAATGTGATAAGTATTTTGAAACAAATTATTTTTTCAACTGTGACAAGTATTATAGAACGGAGGTAGTATTTGTTTATATGTGGAGTCATAACATTGTCTTTCTTGATTTTGCTGGAAGAGAAGACTAAATATTACTAAACTTTAACCATTTTTCTTAGGTTGCATATATGAAAAGTGTAGGAGAGTAACTAACCATTTAGCCAGTAATTATTATTATGTTTCAAAATAGAACGAAATCGAAATTGGCGGTTTCAAAACTGTTTTAAAGCTACCTAAAAACAATTGAGTTATGATTCTACTTTTCTTATAACTGAAATCAATGATTCTAAAATCATGATTATGTCTTAGAGTATTTGCAGGTTGGAATATCAAAACTAAATTACTAAATTTCTTTTGAAAAATAAAAAATAGAAAAATTATGATTTTATTATAATTTATACTTTTGAAAAAAAATAAATATAATTTGATGGC